TTTTTTTTGAAAGGCCCTTTGTGCAAGACCTCTATCCTGGTGGTGGTAAGAGAACCACCAGGATTGAGGCTTTGCCTAGCGGGCCGCTCCATCTATTGGTGGGGAGCGACACCTGCTGGAAACCAGGTCCAGCGTCCCATAATTACATCTTTGCTGCACAGTACCATAATGAGAGTGACGTCAAAGTGCTGGAAACCGGGTCCAGCGTCCCATATCCCCTCTACTCTTCCATACCTAGCCTGCAGCAGGGTCGGGTATTGGGGGGGGACCACCGGGGGGCACCAGTGGAGTTGCCCTCCATCCCCTAACCTCTGCCATCCACCAGCTATCCTCATGACGCCCATTGTACAATAGCATGTGTTTGAAAAGGCTGAAGCACCAGAAAACAGGTTGTAGTCAAGACAGCTAAAATCAGCCAGGAACACTTGAGAAGTACTGAAGAATACTGGAGAAAACCTTTGCTACACCCAAGTGCTGGAAACCGGGTCCAGCGTCCCATCTCCACTCTACTCTACTCTTCAGCTGATACTGGAGAAAACCTTTGCTACACCCAGGTGCTGGAAACTGGGTCCAGCGTCCCATCTCCACTCTACTCTTCAGCTGGGGTCTTTGAGAAATACAGACCATTCAGACTGGGCAAAACTGATGAAGTCTGTTGAAGAATATTAAGAGGGGGAGGAACGGAAGAATGGAAGAACGGCTACCCGCTAGGTCCCTTGACTTATGTAGGCAGCAGTATTTCTATTAAGGAGAGTGGGGGGGGGGGGGGGAAGGGGTCTGCGAAGTCCTGAGCTGCCCTTAATGCTTCACCAGGGTCTACACTGGTCCAGTCATGGAAGACCAGCCGGTAATCCCTTTCTATCTCTAACCCGGGTTCCTCCTGTGGCCCCTTCTCAGACAGATCACTCCTGGACCATTTTACCTCGGCCACCCATCCCTCCCTTTCCTTTCCCAGCCATTTCTTGCCGAAGCAAGAAATTGCTTTGTTTATGTCCCCCCAGTTGTGCATTTGGTAAAGCTTGTCTTTAACAGCCTTCCATTGGGTCGCGATTTCGTGTTGGAATAATGTCCTGATCTGTTCCATAACTTCTCCGTCTTCCAACCGCGCCCCTTCTATCTCAAGGATACATCTCTTCCACCATATGGTCCATAGGACGCTCCTTCCTCCGAAGTTGAACATATTCTCCTCGAAGGAGGCCTCCCAATGTTAGCTGATGAAAATATAATCAAGAAAACGTATAATGAATTTATTGTGTCTCGTGTTGTTTTTACTGCTGGGTTGGCCCATCTCAAGTGTGTTGCATTGCTTGTGTAAAGGTGAGATTCCTTGCTTGTTTAAAGGTAAGGTTCTGAATAGATATTGATTTCACAAGCAAAACTGTTTCATTGGTGGATTGGCTCATCTTGAGAATGCTTCATTGTCTGCAATACAGGAAAAAATGCTATGACTTTGGCTCTGCTCATCTCGGTGGAATAGGGGAAGTTGTGGTGATATTTTATTATTTTATAACACACGCGCACACACACACACACACACACACACACACACACACACNGTGGGAGTCTCCTGCCGGCTAGCGCTATTTTCCCAACATGGCCTAGTGGTAGGGGCAGTTGCTACCCCTACCGGCGGCTGCCTTTTGGCCCTTGGGCAGCCGTTCGGGTCTCTCTATACTTGGGACAATATTTGATGATATGGCCCGGGTCACCGCAGAAAATGCACTGACCCCGGTCCAATCGTTTTTGCCATAAGTCCTGGTCCAGACCCAAAAATTCCCAAGGCCTACCCTGAGGTAGCCCTGGGTGCCATCCTCCTACTCTATAGGGAGACCTATTCCTAGGACGGTTTTGCGAGGGACCTTGACCCCTGCCTCCCGCTTGGCGATTTCCTCCTCTGCCGCCAACCCCCTGATCGCCCTGAAACCGGCTCCCTGAGGCCCGGCCCCCTTGGCCCTGGCTTCTTCCTCCTTGCGGCCTCCCTCCGACCGCGACAGCAGCGTAGGATCTCCCCTGGCCCACACCGCTGTCCGCCTCCTCTAGCCCCCACTCAATCTGATCGTAGGGAATCTCATCCACACTACCCTCATCTRAAGTMARGMCRAGGYTATCCTTGGTCTTTACCTGCCCTGAGATAGTGCGGCCTTTCCATTGCTTTCCCTTGTCCAAATCCTTATGCCAAAAGGTGGACAGGGACACTGACTTCGCTTCAAAAGCCACCACCTCACGACTAAGGGAATCGTAAGTGGTGGCAGGGTCTTCGCTCTTCACGAAAAACTGCCCTCGAAAGGCTTCGGGCATAGCCCGGTAAAAGAGGTTGACCAACTGGCCCTCTGTGACCCCATGGTCAGGGACGGCCACCAACTCATCCATTGTACCCTTGAGTGCCCTGACACTCTTCCATTTACGAGAATGGATGGTTTGGAGCTTGTCTGAGGCCTTGACACTGCAAGCGACATCAGCAAATCGCTCGCGCAGCAACTTCAGRAATTCGGTGAGGGACGTAAATGAGAAGTATGCAACAGGATCATCACTACAGTTGGCAGCGTGAACTAGGGACCTTGCAAAACTGGCGGCCTCATCTCTCAGCGCGTGGATAGCAATTAGGACTTGCTGATCTGGGGAGACCTGTTGCAAGTGCACATAGGTCTTAACGTTGGCCTCCCAATTGTCAAAGTTTTCCTCCCTCTTCCCACTGTAGGAATCGGGGAACTTGACTTTGACAGGCTCCCGGCGAGGAGGACGTGCTTCCTCCTCCTTGGGAGCTGCCGCCTTGACGCCTTCAATGGCGCCAGCGCAGAACCGCTCAGTCTTGTCGAGGCGGTGACCCACCTCGGCTCCAACGACGCCTACCAGCTCACGAGCAAAGTCTCGAAAGCCCAACCATATCGAGCGCACAGCTATGTCCTGACTTCTGCTAAAGTCATATTGGTCTGCATGAACCCGTGCCAGGCATGCGACGCTCCGAGCTATGACTCGCATCTGACTCGGGAGATCGGGCTGGGCGGCTAATTGCGCCTCTATVTTCTTCACTTCCTCTAAGGCCTCAGCCGCCTCCGCTTCCTTGTCAATTCTCCTCTTCTTCTCCCTCATCACCGCTAATTTCCATTCCACCCTCTTCTCGTCTTTCAACGCTTGACGTTTAAGAGGGTCTTTCTCTGCATCCCAAGCCTTCATGGCAGCTTCTTGCTGATCCTGCGGGATRTACATACTAACCTCTTCCTCTTCTCCCACAGTCAGGTTGGAAACCCATTCAGATATCCTGTTCTCCAGGTCTCCACCGGTACTACTACTGGGCTGCCCACTACTCCTTCGCAGTGGCGGACCGTCCTCTTCTTCATCCACCGCCTTCAGTTTCTCTTCTTCTTCCTTCTTTAACCTCTCTTTCTCCCTGGCCATCTCTTCTTCCATCTTCTTCAATTTGGCCGCCTGCTCCTCCTTCAAGGCCTTCTTCTTGGCCTCCTTCTTCTCCTTTTTCTCCTGCAGGATGGCGGCCATCTTCGCCTCCTCCTCCTTTGTGTACGGCATAGTGGAGGTGCCGCGCCGGGTGTCTACCATGGTGGTGTCAGGTGCACGACAGAGGTCCCACTCCTCACCACTTGGACCTACCCAGACACAAACCTACTGACCGACTTCCTAAGGACCACAGGGTAAGACCCTGTCAACTATGGTCACTAACCCAAGACTTATTCTAAGGTTGTCATTACTGAACCAAAAGTTGATCTGGAGGCATTTAAGGAGATCCCCCGTAACTCCTCAAAAATTCTTTAACGTCGCAGACAGGACGACGTGATCAGCTTGGTTCTTCCTGGCGATTTCAGCCCACAACTCAGTCGTTCCAGCCTACTGTGCCACACCGAGCAGCCCGCCGGTCTGTACCGGTCCTTGGAGGGGTTCGTATCCCTCAGGGCAGTCGAGTCGTCAGACACACATCATCAGTTGTAATAGGTCCGGTAGGGGAGTGGCTCAACCAGGCCTCAACACTTAAAGACAGCCCTCGTTTCAGCCTACAACCCGGAGTTCAGACCCTCTACACTGAACTTAGTAGACCTGTCGGACAGTACCAGTCATTGGGCTAGACGAGTTGTTTAACGAGCGCTCGCCGCTCATGCCCAGGTCTCCAAGTGCCAGAGTAGAGCTTTGGTCCTACTAAGCCCGTGTAGGTTTGGCAGCAAGGCCCTATCCTTCATCCACAGAGTCCTAGCACCTAAGACAGAAGAGACTCAATGCAGAAAGAGTAGACAGACAACTCAGCAAGTACCGTGGGGTAAGTGCACATCCACAGGGTAAGGGGATAGGCAGAGGGGTCAACGAGATATCACCAACTCCAGCTTGGTCAAAATCTTGGTCAGCAGCCCCAGTCAACGCCTTGGTCAACGCGGGCAACCCCCAGTCAACCCTTGGTCAACCCTTGGTCAACCCTCTGGTCAACGCTCCGGTCAACGCCCGGTCAACCCTTCACCTCGGCTATGGCTGCC